ATTGAAAACTAATGGAGTTCCTCTTATCTGTCTCTACATGGACAATTTCACCAAGGTCTCAAGTAACCAGAGCTGCAATTCAGACTGATACTTTTTTTTTTTTTTTATTGAGGTTTTGGCCTACAGACTGATACTTTCATCTCCAAGTGCTAGATACGATGGTTTCAACTTACCTTCAATACACAGGTCTGTCACACTCCCATCTTCCACAATGCATAATAGTCCTTAAAGCAGAGGGAGGCAAGAAAGGAGTAGTCAGGCGGGGCACAGCAGTGCATGCCCGTATCCCAGCTGTTTGGGAGGCCAAGGCGAGCAGATCACCTGAGGTCAGGAGTTCAAGACCAGCCTGACCAATATGGCAAAACCCTGTCTCTACTAAAAATACAAAAATTAGCCAGGCGTGGTGGCACATGCCTGTAATCCCAGCTACTTGGGAAGCTGAGGCAGGAGAACTGCTTGAACCCAAGAGGCAGAGGTTGCAGTGAGCTGAGATTGTGCCACTGCACTCCAGCCTGTGCAAAAGAGCAAGACACCATCTCAAAAAAAAAAAAAAAAAAAAAATATGCTCTGGAGTCTATGACAGACCTGGGATAAAATTCCAGCTCTGTCACTTGTTAGAATGAACTCCCTGAAGCTTGGAGATCATCCCATCTCCCTTAAAAGACTGTCTTGGAAGTTAAAAGCCTGAGAAGTCTCTGGCATAGAAAAGCACCCAATACAAGTTAGCAAGGGCTCATTCCATTGGACATTATCATCATATTAAAAGAACCTCAGATAAAATTTAATCCATCACACTTCACACATGAAGATATTAAAGCACAGGGGAGGAAAAGTAACTTAAGCAGGGTCATTTCTAGATCAGCAGACTCCATTCTGGTCCTATACAAAGACCATGTATGCTGGAATCTTTGAATAATTTTTATTTTTTTGAGACGAAGTCTTGCTCTGTCGCCCAGGCTGGGGTGTGGTGGTAAGAACTCAGCTCACTGCAACCTCCGTCACCAGGATTCATTCTCATGTGTCAGCCTCCCGAGTAGCTGGGACTATAGTTATGTACCACCACATCCAGCTAATTTTTGTATTTTAAGTAGAGACAGGGGTTTTATCATGTAGACCAGGCTGGTCTCAAACTCCTGACCTCAAGTGATCTACCTGCTGTAGCCTCCCAAAGTTCTGGGACTATAGGCATGAGCCACCACACTTAGCCAACATTTCCCATTTTCACCTTCGTACTTTTACTAACCTCTTGGCTCTAGTAAAGCCAGTTACTGTAAAATGCATCTTGGATCTTGGAAAAGGGTCCATTTCTACATCATTATCGCAAAACAATTTGCTAACAAAGTGTTACAATACAAAAAATCTAAATAATCTTTCTAAGACCATTTCTCCAAGACCCCCAAAAGCAGATATACATACTATACATGCAAAACTCATGTCAAATTTCCCTCTTAATCTTACCAAAAACCACACTTATAAAGTGCATGCAGACTCTCTGATCCTGAGACACCAGTTGTGTGACCAGGGAGGTGTGCCTTACAAGGGCATCTTGGAAGCAGGACAACATGTGCTTCTTGCGCACCAACTTGAAGCAAAGAAAAATATTTAATAGAAATCAAATATTAGCTATTCTGAAACCAAGAATTGTAATTTCCAAACACAATTACAAGATGATACCGGAGGGATCATTTAAATACAGTGAGATCCATACTCCTTAAAGAGAGGTTGGAAAACAGTATCATTTACAAGGAGGAATCCTATGTTCATACAAAGGATTATAAATCAGCTAAAGTTCATAATGCCCTACACTTACATAGCAATTTACTCTTCACAAATCATTTTGTCTACCAGCTCATTCAAGCCTTACAAGTTGGTGAAGAAAGCAAAAACAGATACTATCACCATTTTGAAGATGAGAGAACTGAAGCTGAGACTTTCCCAAGGATTCAAATCTAAGTCTCCAATCCAGGTCTGACCTAAGATCAGTGTTCTTTCCACTTCAACCATCTGGGGAAGTAATACTGGGCCCTTTCATGACAGAGGTAGGTAGAGAAAACACATCCTTCTATTCAATGTAGCCATAAATTCTCATACTCAAGTCACTTCCTTTTAAAGGGAACTGGGTAGAAGTTGTGCAATGTGTTCATGACAATAGCAAAAGGTAGGTCAAAAAAGGGTAAACACTGAGGATAGAACCAGAAAACAAGTATAATTGACTGTATCACCTCTTTAATTAGTGAGGAATGAGGTTAAGAAAAGTGTGTTTGCCGGGCGCGGTGGCTCAAGCCTGTAATCCCAGCACTTTGGGAGGCCGAGGCGGGTGGATCACAAGGTCAAGAGATCAAGACCATCCTGGTCAACATGGTGAAAGCCCGTCTCTACTAAAACTACAAAAAAATTAGCTGGGCATGGTGGCGTGTGCCTGTAGTCCCAGCTACTCAGGAGGCTGAGGCAGGAGAATTGCCTGAACCCAGGAGGCGGAGGTTGTG